CGAGACCCACCTGGGCAACTTGGCAAGACCTCATCTCTACAATAAATCACAAAATTAGCCAGATGTGGTAGCGCACGCCTGTAGTTCCAGCTACTTGGAAGGCTGAGATGGAAGGATTACCAGAGACCAGCAGATGGAGGCTGCAATGGCCGGGAGAGTGCCCACTGCACTCCAGTCTGGGTGACAGAGTGAGACTCCAACTCAAAACAAAAAAAAACAACTTAACATTTTTATTAAAACAAGAGTTTTTGAAAATATTTTTCAAATAAGTATTTTTACAGTTTTTGGAAGTTGGAACTGTTCACTTGTTTGAAAATATGTTTCATTTATTTTGTTGACTTTTGCTCTGACAGGCAAGCAATCTTGTAAAGCATCAGCTATTTTTAAGACAATCAAAGAGTTAGTATGCACAAATTCTGTTTCTTGTCTCATTTATTTCTATTCTTTTCACTAGAAACTAAGTAATGGCTCCACGGTCAGGATCACTATTCCTGAAATCACCACTTCTGAGCTAGGTATGATTGAGAGATCTCACTTCTGTGTACTCTCAGTTTGATTTATAAGATTTGGAGTAGTTGTGATTTACATGAATAATTGGGATTGTGAAGATTATTTTGCCATTTTTGAAGCTATTGGATCAAGTTTTTCGCTTTGCAGAAAAACTTTTAAAAGAGCTAGGGAGTGCTTTGTGATGTGTATGTGTGCTCTCAGGCTAGAATATAGTTGAAGGATGTGCTAATTCTGTTTCTCTGAGATTCTTATGTTGAAAAATATTGTATGGTGATGAATCTTGCAAGAAAATCCAGGAAACGGAAAGCCTAAGCAAGTAAGTTATTTCTTGGCATATTTAATGATATTTTTAATGTTAAATTTAATTTTTCAGTTTTTAGATAAATTGTGAAATTAATAGAATTGCCTTAGTTGAATAAAACTTAGTATTATAGTCAAAACATAATCTGAAGTATTTTAATAAATACTGGATTCCGCTTGAATTATCAGCAAAATGGAATTTAGAAGATACTAAGGGAGAATATTTCTGAATATAGAATAGTAAACAGATGTTAAAAGTAAAAGAGTTTGCCAACTATTGTATGTTAAGAAAAGAATGCTGGCTAGCTATGTTGGCTCACACCTGCAGTCCCAGCACTTAGGGAGGCTGAGGTGGGAGAAGTGCTTGAGACCAGGAGCTTGAGACC